CCGCCCGCGTCATCTCTGCGCGGTGATTCACTCCCTCCTTCGCCCCGGGGCCCCCTTCCCGGCCAGACGGCGGGCAAGACAGCTGGGTGTGCAGCGTCCTCGAAACCACGAGCAAGCGAGCAGATCCTCCGAGGCACCACGGACTCCAGCCCATGCCATGGCGGATTCTGAGCGCCTCTCGGCCCCTGGCTGCTGGGCCGCCTGCACCAACTTCTCGCGCACCCGAAAGGGAATCCTCCTGTTTGCTGAGATTGTGAGCGACCTGGGGCAGGCGCGTGGGCAAAAGCGGGATGGGGTGGCTGGACCACGCGGAACTGGATGGTCCGGGTGAGGCAGGCACTTGGCCGGGGCGCTCGGCAGTGGGGTGCAGGTGGGTGGGTTCACGGTGAAGGCCCGAAACCCGGGGCGCAGGGCGAGTCGGTGGGGTTTGACGAAGGTTGTTGAGATCTGGTAGCCCCCGGGGTGAGGCAAGGAGCCTATAACGCATACGGAGGGCTACATGGGGGGAGCTGCGTTAACTCATCAGTGGACTCATCGAAGGGGTCCCAGGGTGCTGGGAAGTCGGGGCCTCCTGAGGCAGGGCGTGGCGCGGCCTGGACACAGGAGGGCGGGCTGGCAGCGCGCCCAGGGGCAGGGCCTGTTGGGGTGGGGCCCCCCCTCGCGCTAGTCCCGCGGTGTAGAGGGCCCCGCCCTTCGCCAGTTCTTCCTTGCCCTTCTGAGGCCGGGCGGGATGTCCTTAGCTTTTCGGGGTTTCCACCCTTCTCAAAGTGGGCGCCGCCTTTGAGTCACTTGTAAAAGGGGTGCGGCGCCTTTAACGGAGTCCTGCCTCTCTGGTGTCACTCTCACCGCTTCCCAAAGGGGTTGCTGGGGGAACCGCGTGTTCTGCCCTGGTCAAGGCCACAAAGCCGGCGTCAGCGGGGCTCACAAAACACCTGGCAGCGCCACTCCCCTCAGGCTGCCCATATCCTAGAAGGGAAAAGGGGAGGAAACTGAGGCACCCAACTCTACTTCTTACTTGCTGGGTGACCCTGGCCAAGCCATTAAACCTCTCTGCACCTCAGTTTTCTCATCTATAAATTAGAGAGAGTAATAATAGTACCCAGAACATTAGATTGTCGTGATGATTGAATTTGGAACACAGTGAGCACATAAAAAGTGTTTAGCTATTATTGCGTGTCATTTCCCCAGCGCTCATAGTCATTTGAGAATGGGACTCCTAATTTAAACCAATCTCCTCAGCCCTGGTTGCTGATTGAGGTCCCCTTTCCCA